CTACTTCTTGGTCGGCTCGGCGTTGGTGTTGCTGGCCTCAGTATTGCTGAGCTCGATGGGCCTAAGGGGAGGCAGGGATGGTTGTCGGTAGCTGCGAACAAAAGGACCTTGTTCCAGGTCATCGGCTAGCACTTTGAACTTGTTCTCTGCAAGCAGAGGCTCGAACTACGAAAGCTGAGGTGACACCGGCCTAATCGGCTGGGAAGCCTCTGACCTAATTACGGGCCGCGTGGCAGGGGTAGGGAGTCTTCCCTTCCTTCCATGCGAGGATGCCGAAGTCTCTCCCCGGCGGGAAGGGAGTTCTCTGCGGCGATGAGGCTTAGTTGGCTGTTCAGCCGGATGTCGGGGAGGGAGTGACGGGAATTGTTGCTGGTACTGATACTTGTTGGGATACTTGGTGCAACACTTGCTACTGGTGGAACTAAAGTTGTTGAAACTGCTGCATCTGGGCCTGCATTGCCCGCATGCACTGCATCAGGTCTTCAAGTTGACCTTGGTCGGCCACCGGAGGGAGGATGGTGGGTTCAGCGAAGGTCGTCCCGACTACAGGGGGCAGCGGAACAGTCACGTGTGCCACCGTCGTAGGCACGTTCAGGCTAGGAACCCCATCCGCAGAGAGGGGGATGGTGAATTGCCCGATGCAGACGGTGGGCAGTTGGAGTTGCTCCTCTGGGGTGTTCCGACGTCCGGAATTGCTGGAAGAAGCCATGGACGTCGGTGGTGCTGATGAGTTAAAGAGAATAAAGTTTCACAGAAGTTAGAGGGAGGCTTTTTGAAGCGTATTCCCACAGACGACACCAAATGATGCTGCACAATCTGGGCACTCTTAGCTGGATGCGAGTTGGTTCCTTCCTGTGATGGATGACACCTGAGAGGATGAAGAAAGTGAAGGGTTCCCGGGGAGCTCTCCCGGCAGGAACACTCCGATGGCTAAGTTAGAGCTCTAGAGAAATCTCAAGGAAAAACAGAGAGTAAGAGTGCTGAGAGTGATAGCTTCAATACCTTTGCTTCGTGAGGGTTGGAGTCCTTTTATACCGAAGCTCGATCACATCAGGCATAACCGCCACTGCCCTAGCCGTTACTGCCAGGGCAGGTGCGGCAGGTGCAGGTTGCTGTTACAGGCCGTTGTTGCAAGGTACAGACTCGACAGTCGTGCCATGCTTTTCATAGACGGCAAGCAGAACGTCGCCTGGCAAGTAGAACACTGCTTATCAAGGGATCAGAGCCCTGCCACCGAATCTGGCAGGTACAGATGTCAGGCAAATCCCCCTGCAGCCTGCCGAGCTATTGTACGCCGAACCACCTGGGGCAGGTTTGCCTTGCATCGAGGTGCCGAGGTACGCCGAGGTGCCTGTACTGGAGGCGGGCCTTAAGCAAGTTTGAACAGGAGTCTCGACGGTGCTGCCCCGAGGTGTTTCTCCCTTGGGACACTTAGCCAAAAACAGGATGCTCCCTTCTTAGGAAGGGAGAGCTCGGGGCCCCTCAGGAGGAGCTTGGGTCTCAAGGGGAGCTTGGGACCTCCCATACTTGGTGGGAGTCAAGGTTGGGCGGGCGCTAGTTCCCGACGAGTCGCTTAACCCGCCAAGTGGCCAATGTTGGACTCGGCGGGTCCCTCCCGTCAAGTCATAGTTGTGCTGTTAGGCTGAACTGTTCATCAAGCTAGGGCATGCACACGTGTCCCTGTGCTACGAGGTCGAGCCAAATCACCCTCCATCAATGATCTCAATGTTCAATCGCAATATGATAGTGTTAGCGCCAATATGGATGTTGCTGATATTGCCAACATTCTCACACCTAGTACTGCTATTAGAGGTAGGGGAAAGAAAATGGAAGACACTAGGTAGATTGGCCCAGTTTGGATAAAACTTAGAATAGAGGAGGTTGAGGGGAAGGGAAAGAGAGCCATTTGTCAAAAATGTTGGAGTGACTTTAGCTATATCGGTAGTGGTGGTACTGGCAACTTGGCCAGACATTTGAAACGCCATTTGATGAAAAAAGAAGGAAAAGAAACATCACAAGCACAAATAAGGAGAGATTTTTTGTACTTTTAAATATTCCCAAGAAAAAATGAGGCAAGAATTAGCAAAATATATTGTGCATGTTGAACATCCAATTTTATTAATAAGAGGTATAATGTTCCTGCACATCAAATAGCAAACTGGAGCAAACATAACACGCAAGAGCATTTTTGTTATCTCAATATCCTCCTATTTCGTCTGTCCAAAACTTTGTAAGTTGCTCTTTCTGTTAATGTAATTTTACTTGTCAAAAAAACTGCATCAAATAATCCAATAATAATTCATTCAACATCTAAACAACAAAAGGTTCAGCATAATATCTACTTAGAAAGATGTTGAAACAACAAAAGAAACATTTGAGACAAATAAATGGATTGTATATAAGGGACCATTATTACTTCTGATCAGCACCCTCGCTTCGAACCCCATAACATAAATATCACTGCCCGGCGGGAATCCTATTCGAGGGCCTTCATTGTACCTACAACTCCTATCCATATGTTCGCTAGACATCACCCCCTTCTTTGACTTTGCACCAGACCCATCCAAAAAAGGAGGCAAAGGTGGGAAAGGGAAGCATTCACACACTTAACCAGGGGGAAGCACTTGCAACCGTGCATCGCAGATTTGGAGAGTACTGAAGGAATGTTGAGAACAAACAACAACTTTAGTTACTTGTGAACAATAACCAAAAGTTTACATGCATAAATCCTAACAAGGATATGTACAACTAGCGGAGGGCCCCTGCGTTGCAAGGGCTTGGAAAAGTTAAATTATTGTATAGAAAAAAAAAAAAGGTCACTACAGGAAAATGGGGTAACTACTGTATTTTAACTACGGACATTAAAACCGTAGCTAAAAGTTAGGCTATAGCCACAAACATGTTCCTGTGGCAAAATGTTGAGGTTTAGCTACGGTCATTCTGCCCGTAGTTAAAAGCATTTGTCCGTAGCTAATAGCTACCTATAACCACGGTTTTTAGGCATCCGTGGCTATAAATTAACCTGACCTATTACTACGGCTTTTTTTGTGGCTAAATACCACTTTCTTCATGGCTAGAAGCTACTTATAGCTATAACCACGGATTTTAATAATTTATTAATTACTATCAATAGTTACTAATTATTCTTCACCAAATAATTATTAGTAATTAATAAATATTATTATTAGATAATTATTAACAAATCATAATAACGATGAATGATTATTAATTAAAACTAATTAAATTAACAAATAAATTGTTAATATTTTCATAAGTAAATTAATAACAAATAAATAGTTTATAAAATGTAAATAAATAATTAAATATTAACTAAAATTAGTAATGAATAATTAATTACTTTATTTAATGAATTATTAATTAAAAATCAAATGATAATTATTAATTTATAATTAAAATTATTAATTAATATTAGTTCAAATAAAAGATTAATAAATTCATTTCTATATTAATAACTTAGTAATTAAATTATTAGTAATTTCATAACAAGTCATATATAAATAAATAAAACTTAATTATTATTTAATTAAATAAAACCTAATAAACTTAATTATTTATTCACAAAAATAAATAAATTTAATTATTTAATTTCATAACAATCTCTCTATCTCTCTTAGATGCATGGGGAAAAATGTTATGGCTTAGCCTATTACTCTACGAGGCTACACAACTTGAGTGTAGGGATGGCAATTTTCCCCATCCCAACTGAGTGCCCAACCCCCCATCTAGGCAAGGATGGGGATGGAGATTACCTTACCAGGGGTAGGGTGGAGATGGGGTTAATAGGAATGCCTTAATTGGGGACAGGGACAGGGACAGGGACTAAGCATATCAACAATGCCCAAAAATCCAACGCTCGATATGGGTGTTCACATTAAATGTCAAAACAACCAAATTGTCCTAACCCAACCCGGAACTGATCTTATATGTTTAAGTAATTATTAATTAGTCCCTACCCTATATGTTAAATGTTGATATATATTATTTGTTAGTTAGAACCTTGAAAAAAACTTGGTTATTTATGATAAAAACTAAAAAGTAAAACAATACAAATATAATATAATGGTACAATATTTAATTTAAACTAAATCTTGGTTATTTATTTTGATTTTGCATAAAAACTAAAAGGAAATAAACTTAAATATAAATAGATATTTTAGTTTAAAATATATATATAAAAACTGACTAAATCGATAAACCGACCCTTCATGTTTGGGTTGGTATTGCTTCAGGGTAGGTCGGTTTTGATTTAGTCAATTAGTAAACTGACTAGGTCAGGTAAGAAAATGACTCAAATTGACCCAACCCCGACCCATGAACACCCCTAATGTTCGATCTGATATGACTCGATTTGAATTCAAATCCTATTGGTAAGTCAGTTCTGATCAGATCCAAGTTTTTTTCTTTAACAATTAATAAATTATTAAAAGAAAATTAAAAGACACTAATTTAAATAAAGTAAAAGCAAAAAAATACAAGTTTTTTTTAATTATTTTCATCATATATATCATGTTTTTTGAATCGTCATTGACCTGGCCAGTCGGATCATTCGGCCTGGGAACCATCCAGGCAACCAATGGCTAGAGCGGTTTCGTTTCAGATTGTTTTTTAAAACACTGATATATATACATGTTTTTCATAAAAAATAAATAATATAACAAATTTATAAAAATATAATATAATAATATATTTATAAGTAAATAAATATATATTTATATGTATATACTATTTATATTTATAAATAAATAAACAAATTTATAAAATAAAAATATATGTATATAACAAATTTATATTTAAAATATAAAAATATATTTATAAATATATATATATATATAATATTTATATATTATGCCTTTTGAACAAATGTTAATGGAGGGGACACAGCTTAATGATGGTCCCATCACATTCTATCATTTCGAATTGGAGAAATTAGAGAGCAAAGAATTTAAAGACTAGAGGGAAAACCAATTTCAAACTATCAAACGAATTAACAAATCAAAAACCCTTGGTCTTCCTCTTCATTCTTGGCGCGATAGAGAAACTTTCACTCTCCCAGTCTCAGAGATTCGGACATCTCAAGCTCTCTCACGGACGACGCCCGACATCTGACGAGACGACGACCGACGCCCAACGAAGCGACGACCAACGCCCAACGAAGCGACGACCAACGATCTTAGACTCTCAGCAATCAACAATCAGCTCTCTGCAAGTCTGCAACTATTTCTTCTTCTTCTTCTTCTTCTTCTTCTTTTAATATTCCTGATTTGGGGTTCATGTTTGTCCTTTCTACAGCTATTCGTATTTGGTGATTGGCTATCAACTCCTTTGTAGCCAGCAACCACAGCACAATGACCATCATCCAACAACATTCAAAGGTAACACAACACCCAAAAAACCCTTTAAAGAAATGCAATGAGATGCTTCAGCTCTCTGCAAGTCTAAAACTATTTTTTCTAATATTCCTGATTTGGGGTTCTTGTTTGTCCTTTTTATTCTTCTTCTAATGCAATGAGATGCTTCAGTTCTTGTTTGCTGGGTTCTGTAGTACCTCTAAGTTTTAGGAAAATGTTTTTGCTGGTTTGCTGGGATCAAATTCTTTTTGTGAGAAGGCCATCAATTGAAAGGAGAATACCCATAGAAGAGCCCTTGATTGCACATAGAAATACAAATCAAATTAAAACTGATGAAAATCAAATTAAAACCCTTGTTGAGATCTTCCGGTTAGTAAAGCCCTGTTTTCACTACAATAAAGAGTAGGCTCTTCCTGCAGATTTGCAGAAGTGGGTAAGTATGCAGGCTGTCTTGAAACATTGTCAACATTTCCCTCCTTGGAAGTTTGACAAAGTATCTTATTTCTCCAACTAAATGCCAAGAAACCTGACATCTATTATTCCTAAGCCAGTCCACTACCTTTTTTAAAAATAAAAATCAAAGTTTTATTCATATAAAAAAATAATATGCAAATTTACTAAGGAAAATAGTGGACCATACATACAATCCACCCCAAACATTCAGTTCCTCTATAGTGTTCTAATTCCCTTAAGATATATCTGTACTTCCACGTTGCTTGTGCATTGTTTCCCTTAGGATACATCTATTTGTATGAGCTTCTTTTGATTTGATAAAAAGCTAATTTGGTACCAATAAAAAAAATGTATCCCACTTAACCTCAAACCTTGTAACAAAGAAAATACATCAACATGAGGCCATGAACCAAGTTAATGTCCCTACTTAGATAGAACCACCTTTGCCACTCAGTTCRGAGTAGGCATGATCACCACCAAGCCCTGAAGACCTTGGATTTCCTAGGAAGCACCCTTGTATAAGTAATTAAATAAATTACCAAGTGTACAGCTTGACAATAAAAGAAAAAAACACGCATCACAGTACACTCTGTAATGCTTTACATTATACTACCCTCTGCACTCAAAATGCCAGTCTAGTTAAACACAGATCCCTTCTACTAAAAGAACTCAATATGCAAGGGCCAATCCATAAGGAGATTACTGGTATCCATGCAAAGCCCAAAAAAAGCCTTTGTTCTTTTCAAATGCATGCCAATTTCTTTTGTTCCACAAAGCCCAAAAAATGACACCAGAAACCATTGCCCACAAAATGGCAGCTCCATAGCCAGCTGAAACTGATGGAGATGGCTTTTTTTGATAGATAACTGAAAATTTTCTTAAGAATGCATCAAATTTATAGAACTATGTACAATAAGCACAAGCTAGATATACTTACCTATCTCGCAAAGAAGAAAATTAACAAATTACAAAACAGCCAAAAATAATTAACCCTTGTTTAGCCAAAAAAAAA